AGAAAATAATGGAATGAATTCCGGTTACAGAATAGAATATATTTATTTCTTTATTAATAACATTTATAAAAAAAATTATATAAGCAATATAAATTATACAGTGGGGGAAAGGGAAGATGGAAAAAGTATACTTGTACCCAACCACTATGGCTATCCCCAAATCCTTACCCTATTTGTTACAACCTCTTCAGGGAATAAAGATAAAATGAAATTCAACATAATGAACAGTGAGTTCTCACCTTATGCCTAGTTATTTTCACCTGCTCAGCCCAGAATACTGACTGCCAGGCTTATACCATCTGGGCAGAATATTGAAATATTTCTGGGGAAAATGGTACTAAACAAAAGCCTACAGATATGGACATGGTGGGGGGTGGGGGGAGGAGGGAAGGGGCATCTTCAAAAGGCAGAGTTCCTACCAAAATCCTGCTACAGTGAAGCCTACCAGTTGAATCCTGCACAGTGAACATTCAGTCAACTGTTTAGTGTTTTTTTTTTTATTGAGGTATAACTTCATACCATAAAATTCATCCCTTTAAAATGTACAAGTCAATGGTTTTTAGTGTAGACAGTTTTGTAACCATGACCTCAGTCTAATTGAGAACATTTCATCACCCCTAAAAGAAACCATGCGTATTAGCAGTCATCTTCCATTCCTACCCTTCTCTCCCACCTCACCCCTAGCCCAGGGGACTGCTAAAATACTTTGTCTCTGTAGATTTGTCTCTTCTGGACATATCATATGTAGTATTCTAAGCAGAATAAGAATTGAAGAATCAGCCCTGGCCAGTTTGGCTCAGTGGTTAGAGTGTCGGTCTGCAGTCCAGAGAGACCCGGGTTCGGTTCCCGCTAAGGGCACGTACCTTGGTTGCAGTTTGTCCCTGGCCCTGGTTGGGTCATGCGGGTGGCAGCCACTCGATGTGTCCCTTTCACATCGATGTTTCTCTCTCCCTCCCACTCTACCTGAACAAAAAAATGAAAAAATGTCCTCGGGTGAGGATAAAAAGAAAGAATTGAAGAATCACTGGAATTCATTTTAGAGAATTCCAGAAATGAAAACAACAAAAAAGGAAAGTGGAAACAAAAGTAAAATAAAGTCCAGAAGATAATGTATATTTTTTACATTTATAAAACATGAACAGGGGGCAGTCAAAAAGAATATTCAGAAACCAACAAAGCTCTTGCTAATGAAAATTATGATAGAAAAAAATTCAAAAGAAGTAGAGACAAAGTTGAAAATATCCCTTAGTAAGATAAAAAACAAAAATATAGGAAATGAAAAGGTAAGAAAACCAGAGGACTAATTCAATATTATAGTATTTCCACAAAAAAAAAAAAGAGTGAGGAAAACAAATTTATTAAGGGATCTGGGCAAAAAAGCAAGTGTTTAAATAAAAGAAATTTTTAAGACCTGAGATTGTAGATTAAGAAGGCCCATGTGTTTCCAGTATAATGGATGAAAAGACGCCCACTTCAGGACACACTGTTGTGATATTTTAGATAACCAGTAATAGATGATTCTAGAGGGTCCCAGAGAGGGAGCTGGTGGGGAAAACATGTTATCCACACAAGACCAGGGAACACAATGGCTTTGAACTTCTCGGGCAGGAATCAAAACAGTTGGAGCAATGCCTTCAAAATTCCGAGGCAAATGATTTCCAACAATTATAGTCATTTTAGATGTAAAGTATCTTTAAAATCTATTTCCCATGTACCCTTTCTCAGGAATCTATTGGAAGAGGTGAGGTGCTTTAAAAAAAAAAAAGAGGAGGAAGTCTTGCAACCTAGAAAACAGGAGACTCAATCACTGAGAGACAAAGGGGATTCACAAGATGATGGTGTAGGACAGCAGCTGTGCCGCAGGCTGAGGGCAGCCAGTCCCCTAGAGCGGGGGAGGTGTCTCCACAGAAGAAAGTGAGAGAGCACAAGCCAGCATTTAGAAGTGATGCTTTGTTTCTGTGGAATATTTAAGGATGATTTGGTGGCAGGTACGTAAGCAAATGGGGGGGGGGGGGGAAGGACAGTTCTTAACACCCAAGGAAAATTAAAAGTTATATGTACTGTAAGGAAGGAAATACAGTTGTGGTTTACTGTGTGGCTCAGCCGTGATGACTGTTCTCATAACCATAATACTGTACATCCAGTGCTAGGTAGGGATGCAGCCGAGAGCAGAGGTGTGATGAGTCAGAAATATGAATGTGGGGATGGGAGTCTTGTGGGTCAAGAATGCTAAAACCTCTTCTTCCATTAGAAAACAGAAAGTAACTAAATCTTTAAAAATCCATACTTAACGTATGTTCTTTTAAATTTGAGGTGCACAGAAGGAACAATGAAGAGTTGAAAGTCTGTCACAGGAGGGATTTTTCTTAATGGTCTAATTGTTATATTTTACTTTAAAGGTATTATTTTGATAAATATGAATTTTTAATTTAAAAAAGACAGGCTACAGAGTTTTTCTATTAAGCTAGGTCTTGGTTTCAGTTTTTATGCATTTATTATATGTAAGATCATAAACACTCTTGGCTACAGCAAACAAAATAGAGGACAGCCTCGTGGATGTTGGCACTTTTTAATCTTAATAATTATAGATGGCCACAAGCATGCGGTAACAATGAAAAAATGTGAAGACATGGATCTTGCGCCTTAGTCCAAGGAAGCTGGAGCTTAGACATTAGATAAGACATGTATGTACATCTTATTGAAACAAAACTATGATTGTATTACTACTTGGAGTTAAAACCTTCAGTGGTTCCGTTAGTTTGACTTTTAAAGCTTTTCTAAAATCCTTACCCTAAATCTACCACAGTGAGATAACACTTCACACCCACTAAGGTTATAATCAATAATAATGTGTTAGCAAGGATGTGGATAAATTGGAACCCTCATACACTGCTGGTGGGAATAAAAAATGGCTCAGCTGCTTTGGAAAACACTGGTACTTCCTCAGAAAGTTAAACAGCGGTATCATATAACCAAGCAAGTCTATCTCTTAGTATATACCCAAGAAAAATGAGAACACATGTCCACACAAAAACTGTAAAAGAATGTTTATAGTAGCATTATGCAAACAGCCAAACAACTCAAATGTCTATCTACTGATGCTTGGAAAAAAATAAAATGTATAGCCCTACAACAAAATATTTGGCAATAAAAACGTATTTTTAAATGCTATAAAATAGATGAACCTTGAAAACATGCTATGTGAGAGAAACAGTCACAAGAGACCACATATTACATGATTCTATTTATATGAAATGTTCAGAATAGGCAAATCCATGGAGATGGAAAGTAGATTAATGGTCGCTCAGGACTCGGGGAAAGGAGTAATGGGAAGTTACTTCTAATGGGTAGTTTTATTTGGGGGTGATGGCTGCACAACTCCAACTATACTTTAAAAACGTTGAATTGTGTACTTTAAATGAGTGAATTATATGGCTAAAAGATTTTTACCATACTCAATAAAGCTATTATTTTAAAAAAATTCTAACTCTAACCTACTTTTCCAGTCTTATTTCTCATTTTTCCACTCAGCCTCAACCAGTTTTACATACATTCTTTTTACCTGCAATGCAACTCTTTCTCCAGTTCAAGACCAAATGCTGCCCATCCTACCAAATGCAGCAAACCTTTCTTCTCTTCCATAAAATGAAAAAAGTCAACTCTTCCCAGCAGAAATGAAACTGCTCTCAACTTCTACCAGACTTGTGTCTCTAGCATATCACTCTATGTATCGCAACGTGGAGGAGTTGCGTGTTAAGCGCCGGCTAGTCAACATTTGGCAGCCACATATAGTCAAGTTACCCAAGAAAGTCCTTTAAATTGCCTGAACAGTACAGTTCTTTTTACATTCAACTCACCGGTTTATTTCCAAGCTTGGAACAGATACTCTGTTCTGTAGAACGCTAGGTGAAGAAACTGACTTGCATTTGTAGGTGTTACATAAAATACAGTACAGTAAAGACCATCAAGTAACAGATTTCCATATATGATTGGCCCCAGCCTTCTCCCAGCCCAATTTTCAATAGGAACAAGCTAAAGCTCTTATCTTGTGTAGGTGAGGGAAGGGGAATAATGAGATGGATTGGTTTATGAACTGACTCGTCATTTGGGACTAATTTAGTATACATTTTGGTGTAATAATTGGCTTAATTTTAGTGAAAGAAATCTAACAAAACATATTTTTTCCCTTATATCACACTAGTTGAAAGAAACTGCTTTTCATAAACTTCATAATAATCCTGCACTTTAAACAATTGAATATTTGGACCCCACTTGCTGCATTGTGGTGGGTTTTATTCTGCTGTAACCATGTTCCACACAGCAGGCTGAAATCAAGACCTACTAAGAGAATGGCTGAGTTTTGTCTTTCTACGGTTACACTTAATAAATAAAAATGGTAGGAAAAATCACTGAATCTTTTGAAATATTTTGTTCTTGTTGTCTAACCCTCCACCAAATAGAGTTGATTTGTTTAAACAAAATGTGCCATAAGGACCTGTTGAGTAAATGAAGCTCCGTCCATACGATGGAATGCTATTATAACTGTTAAGGGAAAACAACAGCAAAACTGGGTTTATATCATGATGCTCTGAGTTTTGTTTTGAAGGATATAAACATCTGTGTGTATATACACATATATCATACTAGAAAAAATCTGTGCACGCATAAAATCTTTCTGGAAGGATATATGTAATAAGTTGGTAATATCAGTTGCTTCTGGGAAAAGGAACTAGTAATGATGATAAGGGCAGGAGGAAGACTTAGATTTCACTGCAAATGCTCTTTCAAACGGTCTGACTTACTGTTTGCATATGTTAGCTTCCCAGCTGAAACACGCATTTCTTCCCAATTGTTAATAGTTCATGGTAAATATATGTCAGTTTGAGGTGCCTATTTTAAATGAACAGAATATGTATGCATAGTGTTAATTTGTGCTTCTGTTTGATTCTGCAGAAGCTAAGATATATACCACCAATGATTTACCTATTTGTGTTTTGCAGAGTGACATCCATTTGGGAGAATAGTCTCCAGATCACTACAATTTCTAGTTTTGTAGGAACATGGTTTGGAGCCTTTCCTATTCCACTTGATTGGGAAAGACCATGGCAGGTTGGTTTCAGCTACTTAGAGCAACAAAATAAATGTTTGTAAGTAATAAAACTGATGATGCTAACTAACGTGTACATATCTATATTTATATATATAAATTGTTTTGTTGTTCAATTAAGTAGGATGCCAGTTCCCTCTCTCACTGCAGTCCAGGCGATTTCTTATTGGAGCCTGTCTCAGTGGCACAGGGTCCAGACCATCCTGCCTCTTTCTTCCAGCACTGTCTTTCCTATATAGTGAATAAACAAGCTTAGTTTGTGGCTATGTATAGGACTTTTTTAAAAACAGGCCAGAAGTTGCAGGAATTCCCTGTTTAAAAAATTGTTTTAAATGTTTTTATTGATTTTTTTTTAGAGAGAGAAACATTGATCAACTGCCTCCTGCACCCCCACCCGCCGGGAATCGAGCCCGCAACTTGGGCATGTGCCCCGACCGGGAATCAAACCAGGACCTCTCAGTCCATAGGACAACACTCAATCCACTGAGCCACACTGGCCTGGTAGGAATTTCCTATTTTTAACTTAGATATTCATTGCCTTTGTGACTTTAGAGTTATATTTTTGTTAATGTGATTGATGGCCAAATTGAATGTTGATCTTGAAATATTTTTTAAAAGCATGTAGCAAAGTAGGTTTTTAAAAGGGGTACACGATAGAGATGGAAGCTCATTAACATCAGGTGTTTCATTTCCTAGCACAATAGGATATAGCTAAATAAGCTAGGCAAAGCACTATGAGATAGGTGTTCTTTTTATCCCCATTTTACAGATGAGGAAACTGGTACCAAGAAGATGTGTAATATTTTCAAGTTCACTGAGCTAGTAATGCATATATCATTCTTAATTTTTAATGGCTTAGTAGTATGCCATTATATAGTTACTCCAAAATTTATTTAATAAATTCACTATTGATCATTTAGGTTATTGCCAATATTTTACTATTATAAATAGTGCTATATCATAAATATCTTTGACTCTGTATCTTCACAGATTTTTCCAATTATTTTCTTAACTTCCCCAGCCCTGGCCAGTTTGGTTCAGCAGTTGGAGCATCGGCCTGCAGACCAGAGTCCTGGGTTCTGTTCCCGCTAGGGGCACATACCAAAAAAAAAAAAAAAAAAAAGATTATTTCCCCCAAATGGAATTGTGGTATTAAAAAATATATTTTCTTGCCCTGGCTGGTTTGGCTCAGAGGTTAGAGTGTCGATGCACAGACTCAATTCCCAGTCAGGGGCACATACCTGGGTTGCAGGTTTTTTTTTTCCTTTATTGATTTTAGAGAGAGAGAGGAAGGGAAAATGAGAGAGAGAAACATCAATGAGAAAGAACATTGATTGGCCGTCTCCTACATGTGGGGATTGGGCCCACAACCTGGGCATGTGTCCTGGCCAGGAATCAAACCAGCGACCTCTTGGTGCATGGGTTGACGCTCAACCACTGAGCCATACAGGCCGGACTGGGTTGCAGTTCTGATCACCATGCAGGAGGCAACCAATCGATGTGTCTCTCTTACATCGATGTTTCTCTCTCGCCCTCCTTTCCACTCTACCTAAAAATCAGTGGAAAATGTCCTTGGGTGAGGATTAACAAATAAACAAAATATATTTTCCCTTCTTCCAACATAAAGAGAATTTTTTTTCTGATTACAAAGTGTACATTAATTTAGAAAATGTAAGCAATGTTAATAATTATAAAGAAGAAAATAAAAATTATCAAATATCCAACCACTTAATAAGTGCCTTTAAAACTTTGGACTTTAATGCGACTATCTCCAAAATAGAATTAAATCAGATAATCAAATCTCTCCTGAGCATACTTATTTCTTAAAAAGCAAAATTGAGATTTTTCTTTAAAACAATTTAAAATTGTTTTATATTTGTGCTTATTCCCATCAGATACCAGATTAATGAAGTATTGTTATATTTAAAAATCCTTTTGGTTTTCTCAGGTTAAAATTTTAATATTTGGGAAACATATATTTGTTTCTAAAGTCACAGAAGCCACAGATACTTTTTTCATAAATTGAAGCTAGAGATCATAAGGATTATAACTAAATCAACTCCTATAAATAATGCTAGAGTGAGGGATAAAGCTAAGATTTATTGAAGAGTAGCCTATTTTTCAGTTACTTGGTATCTCTGTTACCAAAGGTTTTCAACAAACCAAAATAAAATATTTATATGAATATGATTATGTTCCAAGCATGGGGAAAAAAAGAACTATTATACTTAATTGACAGAAAATGGTTTTGGATTTAAAAGGTGGGTTCATTGTAAGGTAGTCATGTTGACAGTGCTCTGCTAGCAGGATTTGCAATGTGAGAGAATAGTGCTGGCCAAATGAACTGATTTGCGTGATCTTGGCAAGAACCATTTAGTATCACTTTGACAAGAAATTCCATACTGGAGATTACATATCTCACCACAGACAGCTCTTCCCATGTACTGTTAGGCACAGGAGAGTGGTAGAGTATACACGATCAGTGTAGATTTACAACTAGAGAAATGTGTCCAGATGTAGGTCATCTGCACATGTACTCCTACTTCAGACTAGCATTTGCTTTAAGAACATCTGGACAAACACATCACTTACAACCAAATTCAGAGTAAAATATAAATGGTCATTTAAAACCAGTAGAAACAATGTCAACAGACTGTGAAAAATGAATTCTGTCATGCAAATGCAAGTTTGTGATAAGCACAATAAACAAAAACATATTAAAAAGTAGCTTGTGAGAAATTTAGAACTGGTTGCCTAGGTTTTATCTTCCTCTTTTATCTGAAAGAGCCAGTAATCCCAATGGTTGTTGAGTTGTGCCAAGTGTTCTAGTTGTTCCAAGTGTTCTGCAGATAGAGTGGTTCCCCATGATATCTGTGATGGCATATATCTCTCCAAAAATTATAATTATATTGCAGCACATACTTTTACAAATTTATTAAAATGTATCCCAAATTAAATTATCTTAGTTTGTACCTTAACTGCTTGGTTTATAGTAGAGGCTCAATACATAGTTATGAATGAACAGAGTCATTCACATGGGACTCTTAAGAATGACACTAATGTCTACCAGGGATTGGTTTAGAACCAATTTCTGTACTTATGCTTCGTAAAATTATGAAAACAGCTAGGAGCAAGAATCCCCTTCTGTTTCTGAGGGGAGGCTGCATATGGTTAATACAATGCAGTGTGTATTCTCTTATAAACTTGATACTGCTCAGACATTTCATATGAAGAATACCAGGTATTAAATATGATTTATAGTACAAGGGCAAGGGAATAGTTCCTACAGCAGGGTATAACACTCTCATGAACCATTTTATTTGTTCTAGTCAGTACTAGCAGTGTCAGTTACCTAAGAAATACTTACATTAGTGATCATATAAGTTTACTTTCTCAAGTTATAACATGTAATATACAAAATGATACCAATGCATGGTACAATTTTCATAATTTAAAAATACTGTTTCATTTAATACAATAGCTCCATGTTTTAAGTACAAGAGGCGCTATTATTCCTGTGCTGCGTGCACATTGAGAAATTGAGGCTCAGATGATCAGTGACCTGGCCAGGGCCATACAGCCAGTAAGTGGCTGACCTGTCTCGTGAAGTCGTCATTCTCAGGCCCGTCCCATGCTTCTTCCCGGAAAAGCAAAGTAAAGCTCCCAAGTAAAATATGAAGTATTTTAAGAAGTAGCCTAATGTTTTTGTATAATTATTTCAAAACTTTCTGTGAGTATTTTTAACTAATTTCAACAAAAATTATAATTATATAATTATATATTCATGATTATCTAATAAATACTTGATCATCGTTTTAGGAAATCTGCAACAGCGTATACACTGTCATAGTCAGTGACATGCCAAACTAGCTTTTAGAGTATCAAAAACACATGGATGTCAACATTATGAGGTTAAAAATGTATTTGCACTTAATATATACTCAAGGGACTTACATAATATTGTACATTTTATAATTAAGTAAAATGTATTAAAATTGTTTACTCTCAAATCACACAACAAACAAATGCCATCTACATCATTGAAAATGATCCTTAAAATGAGGAAACCAAAAATGTAAATGTTATGAACTAGAACAGTTCATAAAAATACTTGTTAGAGTGATGGGATTCTTAACCAGGAGTCCATAAGCTGGGCTCCAGAGGTCTGTGAACCCCTGAAATTATATGCACTTTATATATATAACATATATGGATAGTGTTTGACAAGGAAACATGAATTCTGTTATAGTTTTTAAAAATTATTTTCAAAGTACTTAAAATTTGGGCAGGACTTTTTCTTTTTTAAATAGGAGCAGCTTTAGAAATCTCAGCTGTAGAGATTTGGGGAATGGTGGTCTTTATTTTGTAATAACTTATACAGGGTGGGGCAAAGGTAGGTTTATAGCGGTGAGTACATGAAAGTTTATTCTTATAAACCTATTTTTGCCCCACCCTGTATGTACCCACTAGGAATACGAACTAAAAGATTATCATCAAGGATAGCTCACACATATTGGTCACTTGTACTGTGTGCCAGATACTGATACAGGTGTGGTTGGAAGTTCCGCAGAGTGCATTCTCTCATTCAGTCATTACAGCAACCCCAGGAGGTGAGTTTTATGATCCTCATTTTGCAGATGAGAAACCAAGGCACACAAAGGTTAGGTGACTTGACCAGAGTCACACATTTAACAAATGACAGAGCCAAGACTTATCCAGTCTAATACAAAAATCAGTGTTCTTAATCCCTATTTTGTACTACTCAGAACATGCTTTGAAAAATATCGAACAATACATAGATATATTAGTACATTTTTCTTTCCTAAAAATGTAAGCAGTTCTACAGTAATGCTTGATCAGAAGAGAACAGTGTGGTTTTCAGGTGGAAATAAGCTTATGTAATGTTCAAATGCCTTTCAACCAGAAATATCAATTTGTTTAACAGAGTAAATACAGAGTTATAATGATATTATTAAGTTTTTTTAGCTTATAAGGATGAAATTGTTTTATTTCTGAGAGAAAAATAATTTATTTCCAGGTACCATGTACCCAGAACCTATACTATTTAGGACTTTGTTAAAGTTGATTACTTTAAGAGAACACTGATTTTTTTTTTTTTTTTTTTTGGTACGTGCCCCTAGCAGGAACCGAGCCCAGGACGCACTAGTCCGCAGGTTGATGCTCCAACCGCTGAGCCAAACCAGCCAGGGCTGATCTTTTTTAAGTGATGAAAAATATGAGTCATTTGGTATAAAGGATAATAGTACGCTAAGAGACTTTCTTCCCATGGTGTAACTGTTCATTTTTTAAAAATGTTTTTCTTTTTCCTTTATTTTTTCCCCATCACCATTTATCTATACCCCTCACCCCCATGAAAGTTAATTTTATCTACTTTGTATTATCTTTTGTTATGCAAGAGGGGGATTTTTATTCTATTTTGTGATTTTTTAAATTTTAATTTATAAAGCTTGGATAAAAAGATGGCTGTTGTTTTGGTGGCAGACTTGTAAATGACTTCCTTTACATGAATGTCTTTGAGTTTTCTATTTTTCTTAAAACAAAATAGTTCTACATAGCTATCTCGGATTACTACAATTTGGAGAAATGTTTGTAGCAATGCAGTTGAGTCGTCTGTTCAATGGATGATACCATGTGTTCTTGTTTGTTTTTTAATCATTTAGGCATGAAGAATGTTAAATAGAAACATCTCTGTACGTGAGACAATAGTTTTAAATGTAAATTTCAAGATCTAATTATGAAAATACATGATTAAGCTAGAATTGTTTGACAAGTCAATATGAATTCTGTTGCCACAGTATAGGTTTTAATTTTTTAGAACAATTATAAGGTTAGTGAGAAATTACTTGAGGAAAAATTATTAGTGGGCCACTTCCCCCAACTTCCTTCAACTACTCGTTTAGGCATTCCCTGTCTCGGCCTACAAAAATCAGGGAAGTTACCCTTGTATGAATAAAGTCCCTTTAAAAAGTGACTGTTACAATTAAGGACGACTTGGGAAAGCCCAATCCATCACTAGGAGACAGTCTCAAAGCCAGTCCAACATTTTCCTTTGCTGACGGCATGGATTGTTTGAGACATTTAGAAAGTGTTCCAAGAATTCTTAACCCCTCATTAGACAAATCTTTTTAACCAATATTTATTTCATTTTTGGCATTCCACTGGAGGTCAAGTACAGCAGCTGTTTAAAGAATGTGTGTGTGTGAGTGTATGTATGTATTTAGAAACAAAGAGCCACAATGAAATTACAAAATGATTAAAATAGAATTAAGTGACCCAAATTGGAATTTCACTGGGATTCCCACGGGATTATTATTCTCCCTACTCTCAGACAGCATGCTTTCTAACAAAGTGCAGACGCTTACACTTGGCCCATGATGAGGAGACTTACAGCACGAGAAACACAGGCAAGAGTATTATCCCACATGTTTACACAGGGTAGTAAATAAAAACTACTAAGGTAAGAAGTTCAATGCTTTACATAGATAGTAAACTATGCATGTTATTTTATTTGTAACCCCATGTGTTAAGATGGGGCACTGTTAAAGTAACAATCACTTAAAAAGCAACAACCAACAAACCAGAATTTAATTTGGTACTTAAAATTAATAATTGAAAATAAGATGGAAGCAGTGTCTCAAGTAACTAAGATAATTCACAATAAAAACCATAATTCAGGCTCTATTTATTGGAAATATGATCATTCAAAGTGGGCTAACCTACAATGTACCTCTAGAGATAGAATGAGGGTATAAGTTAGCAAAGTGTTAAATAAGATTTCAGGGGCCTCTAAAATTACTTTTAAGAACTTCAGAACTGATTACATATAAAAAACATTAACTATCAGTTTAAGTTCATTCATACATGACCTTATTTGAAGCAGTGTATTTGCACTCACTAGCAACATTCGTGTCAATAGGTATTTTTGAAGTACTTTATCTCCCAGATATCTCACTACTTTGAACTCGTTGTTCCAGTGAATTTATTTTGAGATTTAAGCCTTTAATGAAGCCGGGAATCTGAAAATAAGGCAATTTTCTACAATCTGCGTATGAATAGAAAACAAATCTTTGGTTTTTGGTTAAAGTGGCAAGAAGGACTCTGCAAAAAGAAATAGTAAAGAACCAAAGCAGTGAAAAGGCTCTTAATAAGCAATGGGAAACTCCAAACCCCATCAAGGTCAATAGAGTACCTAAGGCACCTCCGGTTCAGATGATGCAATCATCTTGCTTAGAGTTCTAATAATCTATGTACAGGATTTTTACCATCTTAAGAATGTGAAACTAAAATGGTAATGCCCAGCCATGATTATTGTGAAAAAGAAGAGAATCATAAGAGCTGATAAATGGAAGTGACACTGGAGATCATCTGTTCTGTCTTCCATATTATAGATGAGAAACTGAGGCCCATTCATGAAACAGGTAATACCAGAGCTGTGTTTCCAGATTCCTAGTCCATTTCTCTGAGGGTAGGACAAATTCTAGATGCTAACTTTCATTGGCTGGTAAAACCAAGTGTGAAGAGTTTCAGAGATGTGAATTTGAGAAAAAAATGAATTTCCACCAAATCCCCAAAGACATGTTAGAAATGTATAATACTTGACTGTCTTAATTCCTTTATACCACATGTTGGACAACTTAGCTGATATACTACTTGGTTTATACAATTCCTTTCAAGTCTATCTAAAAATAGCACACCACGATTAAAGGAGAACTTACATAAGATTCCATTGGAGCATACATAAGGCCATGGTACCCAATCTGAACCGCTTCTTGGAAGAAAGAAGATATCCACTGTCCAGTTTAGAGAAAGCTCCTGACTAGTTATCTAGTAGACTCTCCACTCTTCAATGGGGAAGGTGATGCTTATGTTTTAAAAAAATCTCTATAAAGCTCACATACAAGACAGTCCATTCTAGATTTGTGACTGGTATGAGTATTTAAGGCTGTCATTTTCAAGTATAAAAGTTTAGTGTTCCATATCCAATCTGTGCAATAGACATAGCTGTAAGCTCAAGTCATGGAAATTAACAGGAGCTCATCAAAGACATAAGATCATAATTTAGGCCACAGCAAGTTTAAATGTAGGAAAGGGGGCGGGGCAGGGAATGTACAGATTAGATTATGCTTCTCCGAACTGCACTGGTGTGTTCACACTGAAACCTGGTCTGACACTGTTGTCTGTTGCATGGCGTGTGGAATAAGGCAGATCCACAGCAGACCCAACAAGAAACCTTAATTAGATACCAGAACTGGAAATGAAGGTGGTTCACCTCTAACATAGTTCTACGGTCTGTGACCCCAGAGAAAGATTAGAAATGGCTCTAGTATACCAAATAAGCTTCACAGATAACAGGAACAAGTGTTTTCTAAACAGGGCCTTTCACTTAGGGACCAATATGTACTGCTTGTGAATGGAATAAATCAACACTATTTACTTCTGGCTTGGTGTGATTGTGGCTGGGGGAAGTGGGTACAGGAAGCCAGTCTTTTGTTTAACTTACAATCTAGGTGTTTGACTTAAGTTGTGGTTCTGTAACTTCTGCTGATTCCAATACCTGTATCTGAAAGGTGACATCAGTTTTATAATGGAAACAATTGCTTTGTTATAAATTCCATGCAACATGATTGAATTCTAGGTCTTTTTAACACAAGTTAAAGTTTCTTGTGGCTTGGTCATCATACATCCTTCTCATTTCATTTGATATACAAGTCAGTGTGGACATTACAAACAAAATTACCAACTTCAGAGAGCTAAATTGAGTCCAAGATTATGGCAAAGTCTGACCCAAAATTTTAATCTGTAATTTTAGCATGTCTCTCATGCAGTTTGGGGAGCATCAAACTAAATCTACAGTCGCCAGAAGCTTTGTTACAGCTGAATGCACGTGAACTAAAATGTGTACATTTTTAGTGTTCATGATGAATGTAGTATGACCTTATTATACTTTTGGCATTCTTTAAGAAAGCGTATTAAGCTTTAATATAGAAATATTTAGGTTATACTTAACTTGTGCTCAAGTAATAATAAAACATTTGTTCTCTTTTGATCTCCTACATTCTCTTCTCAGGTATGGCCCATCTCCTGTACGCTTGGAGCGACCTGTGGCTACGTGGCTGGCCTTGCTATTTCGCCACTCTGGATATACTGGAACAGAAAGCAACTTACATACAAGAACAATTAACTGGAACACAGGAAGAGTTTTTGTGCAGATTTCATAAGGACTGTGCAGAAATGTACATGGTCTAAGCCAGGCAGTCCCATTTACAGCACTGGTTTTTATGTAGTTACATGATGTGATTGTAGCTTTTTAAACTATGAAACCCCTGAGAGATTGTACCTTCTAGTTGAAATAAAGTATTTATAATAGATTGTGGCTTCAGATGCTGCTTGCTGCTTCTTGGACCTGTAAGAAACATTCTTCATGAACTTGATAGAATTCTGAGGACAAGGTTGTTGTTTTTTCTTTCAAGTTTTAAACTGCTTCAGTATTTATAAGAGGTCTGGGTAGAGCTGTAGCATTTCATTTGCTTTCTTAGAGAGAAATGAACAGTTTCCTTGGCCACTGAAGATGTTTCTCACGTAATCAAACAACAGTTTATACATCTTGATCCTATTCTTTTTTTTACTGTGTGTTTCTTTGGAGTTAAAATGGCTATGATAGCCTCATCAAAAACAGTCTTCAAACCCTTCTGGGTTAGAGCTGAACATTCCACGTAGCAGCACGCTCCTATCTGGGAGGGAGGGAAAAAATCACAAACACAAAATCTTTTTATACAACTGGTATGACACAAAGACACCATTATAAGGAACACTATAAAATGCAGCTATGCAAAAGGAATGAAATCATCATAATACCCAGAGATAGCTGTTAAATTACTAGTATATATCCTTTCAGACTATTTTTGTGAAAAAGTCATCAAATATTTACTGGGTACCTACCATATACCAAGCACTGCTTTAGGTGCTGGGGATAATGTCAATGAACTGAACAATCGGGCAAAGCCCTTGCTGTGTGAGGCTTACATTTGCTTAAGTTCTGGAGGAGGGGCAGAAAAAGGAGGGACGGTGGTACACGCTTGGAGAAAAAGCAAGCACAGTGAGGAAGATGGGGAGAGCAGAGGGCAGTGGTGGTCAGGGAAAGCTCTCAAGGTGAAGTCGTGAGGGATACCTGGGAGAACCTCGAGGCAGACAAGGCCCAGGTGCAAAGGCCCTGCTGCAGGAGCTGGCTCGGAGCGCTGCAGGAACAGTAAAGAAGCCAGAGTGGCGGGAGACTGAGCGTGGAATGGCACCGGATGAGGTCGGCGAGGTGGCCTTGAGGCCACTCTAAAGACTTTGGCTTCTACTCTGAGAGCGGACCTGTTCATTCATTCACCGAAAATGTACTGAGCACTTTAATTTGACAAATGACAGAATACAGCAAGGAACAAAAGTCTCTCCTTGTGAAGTTTACACTTTAGAGGGAGACCATGAACTAATAAACGTAGAGGTAGAATGTCAGAGAACAAGGTATGGTCTGCAGAAAAATGGAAACGTGAGATAGATAGGTAAGGGGTGGGGGCAAGGTCAGGCAAGGTCTCACTGACAGGAATATTTAAGCAGAGATTTGAAAGGAGTGAAAGAATGAAGTTTCCAGAGGGAAGAACATTCCAGGCAGAGGGAGCAGCAAAAGTTCCCAGGCCTGAGGTAGAAGACGGGAACAGTAAGGAGCTCACGTGCCTGAGGGAGGGGAAGAGGAAGCAGGGGCCACGGTGAGGACTGGCCTTGACCCTGCGTGACCCGGGAGCCGCTGGAGGATGCTGAGCAGACCAGTGACCTAACGAAGCTTATATTTTACAACTCACTGGGGATGTCGTACTGAGCACAGGTTAACACGAGGCAGACACACGAGGAAAGGTGAGCTAGGGACTGTCCCAGTAATCCAGGCCAGAGGGGAGGGGCCTGGCCCTGACTGACAGAGGAGGGGCTGGTGGGGAGCATTTGGATTCTGGATAAATTATGAAGGTAGAGCAATATGTTTTCCTACTGGGTTGGCTAGATCATATAAAAACAGCAAGGTCAAGTGTGACTTCAAGGTTTTTTGACCTGAGAAACTGGAAGGACAGGCTTGGAGGATAAAATTAGGAATTGTTTAGAACATGTTAATTTGGAGGTGCTTAGCCACCAAGATGGACTTGTCGGGTGAATGGCTGGATAACCAAGTCTAGGGTTCAGGGAAGGGGTCCAGGCTGGAGACAGAAATTTGAGAACCTTCAGCAGAAGACTGTTCACACCACAAGACTGAGAGAAGGTCACCTGGGCCTCGAGAACGAGTGTGGCTACAGAAGAAAAGATGTCCAAGAAGCTGAACTGACCCCTGGGCCCTCCATCGTTCCGAGACAGGGAAATGAGACAGGAAAGGCCGACGGGAGGAAAACCAAAGAGGGCGTTTAAGGGAGCCAAGTGAAAGTATTTCATGAAGGAACCAACTGTGCCAAATGCTGCTGAGAGGCCTAAAAACAGGATCATATTGTTTTGCGACCACTTTTTTTTTTCTTAAACTACATAATAAATTTGAACATCTCCATGGATATATTAGTATAAAATTTTAATAGATGCAGAGTTTTTATTCTTTGCCTTTATAAATAATGCAGCAACTCTGTAGCCATCTCTAAGCACATCCAAATAATTTTCTTAGGATAAATCCCTACATATGGAATTGCTTGATCAAAAGTGTGCGTGACTTGCATATATCAGGACACTCTTACAAGGGGAGGAAAACCAAAGAGGGCGTTTGAGGGAGCCAAGTGGAAGTATTTCATGAAGGAACCAACAGTGCAGCAGAGTGCCCATTTCCTTGCACCCCTGGGAAAGGGGCTGTTATCATTCATTTCTCTCTCTCTCTTTCTCTTGTTTTTTCTTTTCTTTTCTTTTTTTTTTTGCTAACTTTATAGGTGGAAATTGAACTTATATTCAACTACTAAGGAGTTTGAACATATTTTGTATCTTCAATGGAAATCGGCATTTTTTGGTGAATTTTCCATTGATGTTCTTAGCCCATTTTTCTATTGAGAATATATATCTTTTTCTGATGAATTCATACGCAAGGGGTGCCTGTATACTAAGAATATTAACCCATTTTTCTGCCATACGTGTCAAGTTTGTTATGAGACTTCTAATTTTATTTCTGGCATTGGATGTATTAAATTTTTATGTGGTTAAATCATCAATATTTTCATTTATGACTTTTACCTTTATGACATTTAGAAATTTCCTTCTCTCCCCAAGATCACAAAATCTCATATATGGACTTTCTGAAGTGATTTGTTAGTGAAGCTATTCATCTTTTGCTTTGGGAAAAACTGTCCTCCCAAAAGTTTTCTTGCTTTCTTCTGCCTCCTGATAGTACATTCTAAAGGACCTTATTAGAATCTGTTTCCACCAAAGTCCTATTAAAGTCACATCTAAAAAATAGAATCCAATAATGTTAGGGCCCAATGGAGAAAAAAGTAAGCTAGCTTTGGGGTGAGAGAAAATATCAGTTAAAAGGTATTATGCGCATCACAGTTATATATTTTTTTAGAATACTTTTATTTTCTATCTTTCATAAAAAGATTGGAAGAAAATTCAACTCATTTCTTCTCAAACACAGCCACAATTATTAACTGCAGATTTAACCTTCGCCCCGTGCCATCCACTACCCACTCCACGAGTGTGAACGGAGACAGAGCCTGGTTTGGCACTCTACACATATTTAAGCGAGTAAGGAAGACTTAAAGACCAGCACCTTTTTCTGATGCCTCTTTCTGCACCTGACTCATTAGGAAAATACTGGTGGTGGTGAAAGAGTCTGGGCTCTGGGCCAGGCCTTACAAGTTACCTGACATCGCCACGCCTCCGTCTTCTGTTCTACAAAACTGGGAATGGTCAGACCTACCTCAGAGTCGGTGCGAAGATAGATGAGATAATACAAAGCAAGCACTCAGCACACTGCCTGGCATATAGTAAGTGCACAATAAATGTTAGCCAGTAGTATTACTTTAACTGCTCTTATACTTATTTAGAAATTCTATAAAGGTTCCATTACCTCTTTTGCTAGTTTCTGTCCTTGTTCCACACATATAGGTTTTTCTTTCATATCGTTCAGTCTTGCTAAAGTTTTGGGGTCATCTCGGAGATCAATCTAATTAAGAAAGGTCAATAATGTCCCATGACAGTTACAAGTCTTTAAAGAGGAATCAAAGCATGCAGTCCCACTAACTCCCACATACCAGTAAGATTAAACAAAGGAACTTAATTTTTAAAACCAACTAATATAATTGCTTTCTTTCAGCACTTTTCCCAAAACATGTGATAGAATTTATTATAATTTACAACTGGGCTTAAATACATGTATCATTTGCTAAACCTCAGGACCGTGTGTCTGAGGGCAACACCACAAGACAGGCCAGGGAGTGTTCTTGAATGGGTAAGATCAGAGCAGACATACCTGAGTTCCTATCAATAAAAAGGGGACATTCGGTGCGTATTCCTTAAGTTCTGGCACCCACTCCTCTTTCACGTTCTGAAACGAGGCTGGATTCACCACAGAGAAGCATATAAGGAAGACATCAGTCATGGGGTAAGATAAAGGCCTCAGCCGATCATAGTCTTCCTAAGGAAGGAAGAAAAACCTCATTATTTCCGTTTCTATTTCTTTAGCTTACTAATAATAGGTGCATTTGAGTAACATGACAAAAATGCAAAGTCTGGAGTATTCTGCAAGTGAAATGTATAGCACTCTGCATAAAACAAGATAATCCCATTTGTTTTTATTTTTCCTTTTGAAGTTCTGAACACCAGTGGGGTAAAAATATGACAAGATCATTGACAACTACAATGACACCTGGAGAAAACTGTGATTCCTAAAGCTGTCGCTGGAAACACTTTTCACTGAAAAGTTTGCACCAAGAACTGACTAAAGCTAGATGCAGTCCAAGTGTTATCGTTTATAGTAACTAACATACGCTGGAAGTTTACCGTGTCAGGTACTGAGCTATATACTCTCCCAAGTACTACTGATTTAATTCTCATAACAACCACATGATAACATAAGTATCATCATGTCTGCTTTCCATTTGAGTAAACTGAGGCGCAGAGGTTAAATAACTTGTGTAGGAATGTATAGCCAATGAGTGAAAGAGATGAGATTCAAACCCTGGCAGTTTTACTATAGAACCTATGCCTTACCTACCACACATCTCCGCTGAGACCTTAAGTCTTTGCTTTCTCTATTTATATGGGTGTTTTGTTTTGTTTTTAAATATGTTTTTACTGCCCTGGCCAGTTTGGCTCAGTGCTTAGAGTGTAAGCTTGTGGACCACAGAGTTGTGGGTTCAATTCCAGTCAGAGGCACACGCCTTGGTTTCGGTTTGGTTCCCAGCCCTAGTCAGAGTTGTGTGGGAAGCAACCAATTGGTGTGTCACATGTCGATGTTTCTCTTTCTCTTTCTTTTTCTCTCTCTCTTTCCCCCCACCCCTCCCCACCCCCATCTGAAGATAGGTGGAAAAGGATTAAAATATATATATGTATGTGTGTGTATTGCCTTCAGACAGAGCAGGAGGGAAAGAGGGAGGAAGAGTGTGTGTGTGTGAAAATTTAAAGACAGAAGATACAGAGAAAATTCACAAAAAACCCTTTCCTCTCCAATTTGCATTCCCTTCCTGAATTGCTGTCTTCTCCCGTATCACTCCAGGTCGTTTTCTCTGCGTGTATAGATCTACAACTGGACACATTCAAACACCTGCACCAGGGCGAGAGCATGCGATCCATGGTGTTCTGCCCCTGCAGTGCGTCCTGGAGACCCTTCCAGGCCAGGACACTTAGACGACCATGTACTTCTACACTGCTGCTTTGTATTCCACAGAAGGCTTGTACCATTGACAGCTTTTAGCATCTGTCACAAAAGGCAGTGAAGATCCTGTTTTGCTTAGACTATTTTCTATGACACAAAATTCTTATCTACAGTCTAGTGAGTGAACACAGTTAAGCCTCTATTTCTGTGGTGACCAGCCTCTCACCTGGTTTCAAGGAAAGTTAATACTGGGCCTAGGCCACCGCCCTTCTTCAATGACCCACTTCCTTTCAGAACTGCAGTGAGTGTGGAACTAAAGGAACAAGTATTAAGAACATCGTCCACTCAGAGTTTCAGCAACAGTATTTCCCTTGTGGAACAATTTCCCTTGCGTGTCATCTTCTAATATTTTTCTTAGTGTAATGTTCTACTCAAGCATATTAACGTCTCAAAGTCCTGACTCTGGAGTTAACCCTTCTGTTTCTCTGCGATGCTTCTAAAGGGCACACCCTCCATCCGGAGCCAGGAGCACCGAGAGACGTGTCAGGTGTTGGCTATTACTAAACAGGAAGAGAGAAGCCATCCCCAATCTTCTCTACCCTTTGTTTTTTAAAGTAGAAGCTTCTAATTGGTTCTGAATAAAGTAGTGTTCTGCTATTAAGAAATTAATGAAGAAATCAAGTAATATGGGTATGAAACATATTGTACCCCAGCCAGTTACCATCTGAGGACTCTTATTAAAACTAGAATATGTCTTTAAAAATCAGTTTGAGAATTAAGTAGTACGACTGGGTGCATTAAATATACTTTCTGTACTCAGCTGCCTATTTCAAATTGCATGTCAATAGGAGAAAAAAAAGTGACAACATTTAATTTTAGCATTTACCCAGCAACTCTACATTCCTGAGAGAAAGGTCAGGGAATGGGGCGCTCTTGTTAAAAATCTCTCCTTAGTCCGGCCGGTGTGGCTCAGTGGTTGAGCATCGACCCATGCACCAAGAAGTCGCCAGTTCTATTCCTGGTCAGGGCACATGCCCAGGTTGTGGGTCCGATCCCCAGTGGGGGGCATGCAGGAGGCGGCCAATCGATGTTCTCTCTCATCAATATTTCTTTCTCTCTCCCCCTCCCTTCATCTCTCTAAAATCAATAAAGGAAAAAAAATCTCTCCTCACCCTTATTTAGATCTCCAATTTTCACAGAATTAGAAATGGGACTACTATCTCATAGGATTATGAGGAATAAATGAAATAATGCAACTAAATCCCTCAGTATTGTGCCAGGCACATAAAAAACTCTAATGCTTTCCCATAAATTCTTCAACCCACAGGAAACTGATTCTTCTGTTCTTCTGTAAATCCATGCAGGCCCCAGCAGTCCCACACCAGTCCTGGTTTCGCACCTCTCTCCAACCACAGAGAAGAAATCCCTTTAATGAGAAATAAAATTTTCTACACTAGCCATCAAAACACACAAATCAAACTGAGGTTTCTTGAGGGCAATATAATTTTCAGATTAATAAAAGAGAATATTATTACTGTACTAATTAGTCACTTGGGAACTCAAAAGCCTTAAGGCTATTTAAAATGTAACCCTCAAGATGTTTATATATTTCTAAGAAAACCAAATGAGATTTTTAAAGGATATTTACCTTTTAAGCAAGGTTACCTCATCAGGGAAAAAGAATGTGCACTCTTTCTCTCGAAGGGTATTGCAAACAATAAAAACAAAGTGAATGCAAAATTCTCTAGCTATGCCTAACAACAACAGTCTACAGGATATACGTGCTGTATGGATTGCTTTCATAACCACAGTGAAGACTGACTCTCCTCAGTGAGAGACACGTGGGCACAAAGGAAAGAAATCAATCATTTCTAGATACCAGTTAAATTGCAGATCTTGTTGAAACAATTAAAATGTGAAGGATTTGGGTTATAAAGAAAAAAATCGAAACAAAGACAAGTATGTTTAGAACTCCTTAAAAATAAATGTTACCTCTTAAGTCTGAACTACCTAAAATGAACTCCTTCTGCCTGTAATCTCCAACTAAATAATTGGCAGTTATTATAAGAATGAGACCTTTCTGCTTCCATCCAGCCTAAGTAATTAGAAGTCTAATAATAGACAGCACATTAAAAAAAGAAATTGTCCCCTATGAATACTGTACCCTGCATCCTAGGAAATCGTTTACATCCACTGTGCAGTATCTGGAGTGAGCTTATGTGAAGCTCTGGATCTGGGGATAAATAAGTTTCATCCCCAGCTATATAGAGAGTTTAAGTTTGGAAATACAAAGAAAGTTAAATGTGGAGCAACTGGCCTTAATTTTAAATAGCCACTTATCAAAGTCCAGACTTCTCAAAGCCAACTCTCTAGTGTCCTCTTAATTAACAAGTCAATTATATTTTAGTTCTTTAAAAAAAGGTAGGTTTTTAGACATTTCAGCAAGGTAAATGGAACTTTCTCGGGAGTAGAGAAAACCATATAAAAGACAACGGTCTTTCATCAAAACCACGAAAAACAGTCATGAGTTTGATCAGTAGGATTACTGGACTGCGAAGTCAAAGCTTGTTTCTGACCAACTGGCTAAGTGCCAGAAGTAGCCACTTTTTTAAAGTGTCTTCCGATAGCTTAGTGATTAAGCTCTCTGCTCTTGTCAAGAGTCTTTGATCTGCGATGATGACAACCTTAACCCTTGAAAAAGATCACACACTTACAACCTGACAAGGATCCACAGACACAAAGAGACCGAATGAAAGTGCTCTGAGAGGAGGCGAAAGGCCTCCAGGGGTGACAGGACGGTAGCACGAGACCATCAGGTGGGAGACCCTTCCTGGGCACAGCTCAGCCAGCAGGGCCAGGACCCTCCCTATTTCTAAACGCCCTTTGCCCTCTTCATGTGGACCTGGTGCTACCTCCTACTTTAGTGAATTCTCTTTAAAATACATATTATTTTTTAGCATGCGTATGCCCATTTAATACAAATCCAAAACATGAATTTTAAGCAAAACCACTCACACTGGATAGTACAGGCCCTCCCACGCTTTGTTAACTGGCATCACACACTGTCACTTAACATCAACGAGCAAAGATTTATCGAGGCCGTGCTGCATGGAAGATGTTCCAAGGATACACAGACATAAGTATAAGAAATAACTGTTCTCTCTGGAGCTTATAGTTTAGCTGGGAGTTCAAGACATATATATATATAAAGATAGTCACACACAATAATGGGAGAGAGAAAAGTGTAAACTGGGCAGGGGAATATATAAATGCTTAATTAAAAAAAAAAAAAAAAGTTAATAAGCACCTACTATGTGTCCAAAATAGTGTGATGTGCAATCATTAGGGAATGAAGAAAGGACAAGATTCTGATCATATATGATTTATATAACACCATATAAACATTTGCAAAGCTCTGTCATAAGATATCTGTATGTTAAAAATCAGGCAAAGAGCTCAAGTTAGCAATACAGAACCCGCTATGTGCTTGTGCACCTCAGTAGAGCTTTGCAGACCTCAAAGCCACAGCCTGGAAGTGAAAAAGAAATTGCAGTGCTGGTGTGGGAGCATGCATAAGGTTAGCGTGGAGGAGGGCGAATCCGACAGGTGGAGAGACACACAAACATTTAAGGAATCCCTGCTCTTAGGGAGTTCATGGTAACGGAGACGAATGTATGTGAACACTATATGACAAGTCAGAATGTGGTAAATACCAAGAGTGGTAATTAGGGGATGCTAAAAAACTTCTTAGAGGAGGTGGCCTTAAAGAACGGAGAGGATGGCGCATATATGACTTACTAGCAATGTGGCCTTGGTCAAGT